AATTAACCAAAGTAGTTGGCATATTATTATTTGGATGTTGATTGAGGAACTTTGCATTAAGCTGCAGGCTTCAGGTATGAAACTGTTTACTTAAGTTGGTAAAGTTTATAGGGGTTCGAGCCATATATAATTGGGTTCAAAACCTGGTTTCACCCACCCATTAACACCTAATCATCCATCCTTGCCTGAAAACCAGAAGAAAAGAGAATAAAAGGAAAAGGGGGTCCTCGAACCCCTCCCCATATATGAAGGCTTTGTGTAGAGTACTTTTTCAAAGCAAAATCCCTTGAGTTACCAAACGATCCTATACATCCTTAGACACTGAGTCCAACAAAGAGGATGCTTAGCTTAGGTCCCTTTTCTTGGCGTAATGGGTCTAGTTGCTGGTAGCATTATTCACTTATGGACTAAATGCTTCAATAGTTGGGAGACTGCACCAATGGCCATAGACTCTACCATGGAAGATGTACTCAGTTGTTAGATGGGCCCAATCTGAGATCTCTATTGGAAACGAACCCATATCAGATAGTCCAGATTTAGCCCAAAAGTAGGTGTACCATCCAGGCATCCAATGCTACCACACTTTGCTTTTGGGTCCAATCTAATATCTCTACATCTGATTTGCCGTTTGTACACATGAAGACCAGAATAGTACTTCGATGGATTGAAGACCAACTAGTTAAGGTATATTATTAGCTAAAGAATTCACCCACCAAGTGAGAGATTCTCTCCCTGTATCTCTGTGTGTGGCCTCAATATTTGAGATCACTTTTGGATGATGACATCACGATATGGGGCGCCGTTTGTTTTATAAGGAGGGCCCATGATTAGACGTCAGGGACTCAGAGAGAGAGAGAGAGAGACTCCTAGCTAAGTGTTTGTTTTGGGCCTCTGAGAAATTTGGTGATCTATCTATATATATTTTTTAGTGTTAAAGCACACTACACGCCATTAAATGGTCACTCTTTGCTCATGGATCACTGCCATATAGAACCCATCTTAATTCTTAGGTGGAGAAGAGTTTTGTTGGACAGACACAACGTGTAGAGATTCCATTTGGGAGCTTCCCAAGGTCACAATAACCCTAAAAATAAGGGCTATAAGCAGCGCCGTTTAGCTTTTTCTGAGCCTTGTCTGTGCCTCCAACTAGTTGTTTTTATTAAACCTTATATGGTATCAATTTTATATAGTTTTCACATCACAAATTTGGGACAAAAGGGTTTGGATTGCTCCGGCAATAGGTGGAAAATGGATTCCAACCACGTGGATTAGCCTCAAAATTAGGGATGTGTTGTTAAAGCCATCACCCCAACAGTCCCCACTCTCCTCCCCCGAGTCTTATCATCTCTTCCCAAGCTTAGATTGGGCTTGTGTCCTGAGACATGACCCAATTATTTTGTTTTACTTTCTTTCCTTTTCATTTCTTTTCTTCTTTCAAATCAATACAATCAGGGTGGAATCTAGTCATTGGATGGATCCCACTAGATGATCTCTTACATAATTATTAGAACTGAGCTGGATGTCAAACAAGATAAAGGGCTACTAGCCCTGATCAACTTGGTTCACCTAATAAATTGAACCATGTTGATCCAACAATATCATCATTTAAAGTTGAAGCAAGATTCATAAAAATTTTTGAACCTACCGGTTCATCTGCCAAAAGAGACAATCTGATAAAAACCATTACCTAATGTTTGATCCAGCGGGGTCTTGGAAGAGTTGGACTAAATACAGACATGACCTCTTGACATGTTTTTGGACTTATCTTTAACATCAAGCAAATGGATCATATAGAGACCATCTGATATAGACAAAAATCAGCTGGTTCAATACTTTGTTGAACTGATTCCTATTCACCAACAGTAATCTCCGCAGATTTTTAGGGCCTATTCGTTTTAGGGATGTAAAACGAATAATTTACTTTTTCTGGGTATCATTTACCGGAGCGGATTAACTAGAGACAAAAATCATGCCCATCAGGCTGGTCTATCTATCACGGCAGAACATGCCAGTATGATAGGTAGTTCAGCCGGGTGTGTACAATTTTTTTTTCATCTCATTCGGATTCGTGATATCTATCTCCTAAATGGATAAATAACTTTTTCACCTAAGGGAAAAGTTGTCAACACTTGCATGGAACAAAATTACCCTTTCTACTAATGACTTTTCAAGGTTAAAATGATCATTCTCTTATTTACTTAAAAAATAAAAGAACATGAATATATACACTTACCTGGATAAATAAATTTTCCTGAAAAGCCAATAGATACTTATAGGCCCGAACCCTAACCTAAACCTGATGTAGTTGAAATTCTTTAAATCATACAATTCGACTTGGGCTTGGAGCCCTAGCTAAGATGCCAATAGGGTTGGACCTACATCCAGCAAAAAATCACTGCATCTAACCGTAACATAGGATGCTATGTCAAGCTAACTTACTAGTTTGCTTGTGTGATAAAATATAATGATGCTCTCCCTCTCCTAGAGTCTAAAGTTTCAGAGTTAAAAGAAGTAAATTATGCATTAGAAATCATCCTACCACATTGAAATCCGTATTTCATTATATAAAAACTCCAAAATGCCATTGGATCTAACGGCAAACCAGACCCTAATGGCTTCCCAATGAATACTCCTAGAAAAGAAATATAAAGTATATACATGTGTACATACTTTAATATTCTTTTTTCTCACTTAAGATTTAATAAGATCCCCACGTGCAGCCCTAATCAGAACCGTTGGATTCAAACTATTCCTAGCTAGACAGTGCTTCTGTAGCAGAAATGGGTAGCTTTAGAGGTTCTGATACTGGTACAATTTACCTATTAAAAATACAGAAATGTGGTCTTAATAATATAATTAGTTGATTAAATTATGCTAATTTCATCCATTAGCTGCTGGCTGATGATTCCAACCAAACTGGTCTCCAATTGTTCATGGGTCCACGGTCAAATTGGGACCCACAGTCTCCAGGCTCAGGTTCACCCGTGCAACTAACCTTTCATTGAGAATCCGTCAACAATTTAAAACAATATGATTATATATACCCTAAAATACATGGATATATAATTTTTATAAGCATTATGTGGGAAAACAAAAGAAGATAGCGTCAAAATGGGTCAAATATTCTGTCATTCTATCCTCGTTTAATATCCTAAGCTAAGCAAGGGTCTATAATGCTAAGAGGTCAAGCCAGACCCTAAGTTCTAATCTATAAGATCTAATGAATTATAAACTGCCTATATAATTGTTTATTTAATTATCTATAGGGTTCAAATATGAAACCCATTTAGGTTCAGTTCAAGATTCCTTTCTCTCAAATCAATTTAGAGATGGAAGTTCTAGCTCTTGACTTTAATCTTTCAACCCATTTTTCTTGCCTGGCTAAAACTAATTTTTTTTCTTCTCTTTAGTTACTTTTCTCTTTTCCTGAAACTCAATGAATTTTATTCAATAGAGAGAGGGCAAGGAATGTGGAACTTTCCTGAGAAGTTGTCTTTGTTTTCCTTTTAGCAATCTTGGGCTAAGGTTCATTAATCAATATTGATCTCAACCTGCTCTTAAATCTGGATTTGATCACTTTTAACTTGACTGGACTCAATCTGTTACTACTTAATTACTGCCCTTATTATCATCACTGTAGCAGTTTCTTATTAGATGGGCCATTAGGTATATCACATGTGAGAACAGACTTTGATGTACTTTCTTCGGGAATCAAATTTATTTGTATAATCATAAATCAGTAAGAGCTCAACCACAAAAGGAGAATGGAAATGAAACTAATTTAAAGAGCTTCATAATAATAAGTGTCTGTGGGTGGGGAGGTGGGCATGGGGAGATGTGGTGTAAGGGTTCTTTATTTAAAAAACATCTAAATCTACTATATTATTGATCCAAATACGTGTGGGGACACCCGTTCATGATACTGGCCCACACCTATAGGTTGATCACTAACCATGCTTACATTCTAGCCGTTTGATCAGAGTGTTCAACCATTTGCTGGGACCATTCTCCACCCTAACGAAGGTTAAGGTGGCTGAAAAAAAGTGGAAACTAAGGGCACAATTATACCAGAAATAGGTCATTCATAGAGTACAGTAGGCCCTCTAAATCTTTTATCAAATCAAGCTTTGGCCTTCTCTCTTACTCTTTTAGTAAGAAGTCTCCTACATGAGCTCCCTTTATTAGACAATCCAGATGGGTGAGAATACTGGGGCGATTATGATCAGCTATTTAGTTTAATCCTAATTAAATTTTCAAAGGCTACAATTTGTCCTAACCCAACGATTGATCTAACAAGTGGCTGACCATCTTGGCCATGTTCTAACACACATCATTAGAAGACAGTCAAGTGTTTCAAGGAGGTGTAGTGACAGCAGAGAGCAATCTCTTTTTGCTTACTCTTCCTTGTGCATTATTTTTATAAATAAGGGCTGATTAGTGATTACTTCCCTAATAAACATAATAATGGGATTGTTGCCCACATTCAGTGGATCCTAACCTAGAAAAAATTCATAGGTCAAAGGCCCAAGCCCATCTGATAACTTGATCCATAGAATCATATCTCTAGACAAGATATACAGCAGAATGTAATAGATTCAAGGGATAAGACCTGTGACCATCTTGATGATCACCATTAATTTTCAATGCAAGGAGATCAATGAGGCATGGCCGTTCATTGGATGGGTCCCAACTTCCTGTGTAAATTAATATTTACGTTAAAAAATAGCCACCCCATGTCCATGCACACCAAGAAGATTACAGAACAGAGAGAGGAAGGCAATTGCCAAGCAAATCAGACCGGCCAAAAGAAGAAATTAAACAAATGTTTAATTAACATGGTTGAATATAATAATAAAGGCTGACCGCTGACCCAGCAAGTAGCAAGTGGCAACTCTACTCTACTCCTTCCCTTAGTATTTTCTTTACAAAAAGAGTCAAGATTAATTAAACATACTACACATAAACAAACATGTAACACAGACTCTGTAGTCTGGTATGATCAGACTTTCTAGTTCATATATAATAATGAACTATGTATTTTATATTTCTCTCTGTTGTCTCTTGAGGAAATCAATGCATGTACACATGGTGTCTCTGCTTCCTGCGCGTGACGCGACCTAGTACCTCTACACTCAGTGAGAGAGAGAGAGGTGGTGCTGGTGGACTGGTGGTAGTGGAGCTGGTGTTATATAATTAATGGGTTTTCCTTAATTAATTCTTTCTCTTTCTCTCTCTCTATCTATCTCTTATGGGTTTTGCTTGTTGAAGTAGTAAAGAGAAGAGAGTAGATTGCCAAAGTAGTAGCAGTAGAGAGTAAGAGGAGTTTTGAGGAAAGGGAAAGGCAGGAGGAGACCCAATGCAAACGCGTGAAGGAAGGGTTGGGATTTGAGGCAATGTCGATGCCGAGGTCGAGGAGGCAATCCCACAACAACAACGACAACTTCAACAAGACTACCACCAATCTCAATATTGGCCATTACTGCTCTCCTTTGGCTACCATTCTGGTCGTCCTCGCTCTTGTCTTGGTCTTTCATGTCGGACCAGCCGCTGCTGCTAACCATGAAGCGCTCGTACTGTTCTCTTGGATACGTAGCTACCCTTCACCCTCCTCTTCTTCTGTTTTCCAGAACTGGAATCCATCAGACCCCAACCCATGTAACTGGACTCACATAGCTTGTTCATCTCAAGGCTTTGTCACCCAGATTGTTATTCAGTCTGTTGAGCTCGAACTACCTGTTCCTTCCAATCTGTCCTCCTTTGTTTACCTTGAAAAGCTTATCATCTCTGATGCTAACCTCACTGGAACCATCCCGGCTGAGATTGGAGACTGTGCCAAGCTTTCTGTTATCGACCTTAGCTTCAATGGCCTGGTTGGTAGTGTCCCTGCTAGTATTGGCAAGCTCCAGGATCTTCAAGACTTGGTCTTGAACTCTAACCAGCTTACTGGGAAGATCCCCAGTGAGCTAGGCAACTGTGTTAGTCTCAAGAATCTTATACTCTTCGATAATCGTCTCGGTGGCGATCTGCCAACAGAACTAGGCAAGCTGGCAAGCCTTGAAATCCTACGTGCCGGAGGGAACAAGGACATTGTTGGGGAGATTCCTGCCACGCTGGGTGACTGCAGAAGCTTGACTGTACTTGGGTTGGCTGATACTAAGGTCTCCGGCTCCTTACCTGCTTCACTGGGTAGGCTCAGAAAGCTCGAGACGCTTTCTGTCTACACTGCCATGCTCTCAAGTGAGATTCCACCGGAGATAGGTAACTGTTCAGAGCTTGTGAATCTGTATTTATATGAGAATGCTCTCTCGGGTAAAATTCCACCGGAGCTCGGCAAGCTTAGGAAGCTGGAGAAGATGTTGCTGTGGCAGAACTCCTTTGTTGGGGCTATTCCAGAGGAGATTGGAAACTGTAGCAGCTTGCTGATGATTGACCTCTCGCTCAATTCCCTCTCTGGAAGAATACCTTGGTCTTTCGGACGTCTCTCGGAGCTCCAAGCGCTGATGCTCAGCGACAACAATATCTCTGGTGCGATACCTTCTGTTCTTTCCAACTGCACAAGCCTGTCACAACTGCAGCTTGACACCAACCAGATATCAGGTTTGATCCCACCGGAGCTTGGGACGTTATCCCAGCTGACGGTCTTCTTTGCCTGGGAAAATCAGCTTGAAGGCAGCATTCCATCCACTCTGGCTGCTTGCAGTAGCCTACAGTCACTAGATCTGTCTCGCAATTCACTTACTGGTAGCATACCTTCTGGTCTGTTCCAGCTCCGAAACCTCAGTAAACTTTTATTGATTTCCAATGACATCTCCGGTTCAATACCGCCAGAGGTCGGTAACTGCAGCTCTCTCATTCGGCTACGCCTTGGAAACAATAGGATGGGCGGAACTATCCCAAAGGAAATTGGTGGTCTCAAGAGTCTCAATTTCCTTGACCTCTCTGACAACCGTCTAACTGGGTTGGTGCCGGATGAGATTGGGAATTGCACAGAACTGCAGATGGTGAACCTTGGCAATAACATGCTTGAAGGTGCTCTGCCTAACTCTCTTTGCTCTCTCAGTGGACTTCAGGTGTTGGATGTGTCAACGAACAAGTTCATAGGTCCCATTCCGGCTGGTTTTGGCCGTCTTACATCCCTGAACAAGCTGATCCTCAGCCAGAATTCCTTCTCAGGATCAATACCCACATCTCTTGGACTCTGTTCAAACCTCCAATTGCTTGATCTTAGCAGTAATAGGCTCTCTGGAGGTATCCCATCAGAATTATGTCGGATAGAAGCTCTCGACATTGCTCTCAATCTGAGTCACAATGATCTTACAGGGTCAATCCCAGCCCAGATATCAGCTCTCAGCAAGTTATCAATACTTGACCTCTCACATAATAAGCTTGGGGGAGAGCTTACCCTGCTTTCTGGGCTCGAGAACCTGGTCTCTTTGAACATCTCTTACAACAACTTCACTGGTCTCCTTCCAGATAACAAGCTATTTCGACAGTTATCTGCAACAGAGCTCGCTGGCAACCAAGGTCTCTGCGCTTTTGGGCGGGACTCCTGCTTCTTGAGTAATGTAGGTGGGATGGAAGTAGGAAACAACAGTAGTGATCTTGGGAGGTCAAGGAAACTTAAGTTGGCAATTGCATTGCTGATTGTGATGACAGTGGCAATGGTTGTTCTGGTAACACTTGCAGTGATTCGAGCACGCAGAGAAATTAGAGATGATGATTCTGAGATGGGAGGGGACTCATGGCCCTGGCAATTCACTCCATTCCAGAAACTGAATTTCTCTATTGAGAAAGTACTGAAATGTCTTGTTGATAGCAATGTGATTGGGAAAGGGTGCTCGGGGGTGGTTTATCGTGCAGAAATGGACAATGGTGAAGTTATTGCTGTGAAGAAGCTATGGCCAACAACAATGGCTGATGCTAATGATGATCACAATGACAGATGTGGGGTTAGGGGAGTTCGGGATTCTTTCTCCGCAGAGGTGAAGACTCTTGGTTCTATCCGTCACAAGAACATTGTAAGGTTCTTGGGTTGCTGTTGGAATCGAAATACAAGACTGCTCATGTATGACTATATGCCCAATGGAAGCTTGGGTAGTCTGCTTCACGAGAGGAGTGGTAGCTGCTTGGAGTGGGATCTGAGATACCAGATTATACTTGGAGCAGCACAAGGCCTAGCTTATCTACACCATGATTGTGTCCCTCCCATTGTTCACAGAGACATCAAGGCCAACAACATCCTCATTGGTCTGGAATTTGAACCATATATTGCTGATTTTGGCCTGGCCAAGCTCGTCGATGATGGCGATTTTGCCCGGTCGTCGAACACTGTTGCCGGCTCCTATGGATACATTGCTCCTGGTTGGTATATTCTACTCATGTCAAGAGTCTTTCAAGTTTCAATGCAGTTGGCATTTCACATACACAGTTCTCAGTTACCAAATTTGTAAATAATATATAATGTGTTAAGTCATTTGTTAATTTGCAGAGTATGGATACATGATGAAGATCACAGAAAAGAGTGATGTTTACAGCTATGGAGTTGTTGTATTGGAAGTATTGACAGGGAAGCAACCAATTGACCCAACTATACCAGATGGGCTTCATGTGGTGGACTGGGTGAGGCAGAGGAGAGGAGGAATTGAAGTTCTTGATCCTGCCTTACTTACTCGGCCTGAATCGGAGGTGGAGGAAATGATGCAGGCACTGGGAGTAGCATTACTGTGTGTCAATCCTTCTCCTGATGAGAGGCCGACCATGAAGGATGTGGCAGCCATGCTCAAGGAGATCAGGCATGAGAGAGAGGAGTATGCCAAGGTGGATGTACTCCTCAAGGGATCACCAGCAAATGATTTCCGAAACAACAACGGTACAGTCTCATCATCGTCGATGAGGATGCATGGCTCATTGTCGCAGAGCAACAACACCAGCTTCTCTGCTTCCTCACTCCTGTATTCATCTTCTCCTAGTGCCAAAACGGCTTTCAAACACTGAAGCTGCTGCCCAACAACAGAGAGTCGCTAGTTTGACCTCTCATCAGTTGTTCCGTTTCAGAACTTTTGTCTTTTTGATGTAATTAAAGAAGAAAAGGTCCATATTCGTTGATGACAAGTAGAACAACAAATAGAGCCAACCATTGTTGCAGGTTGGCTTTTGGAATTTCTGAAAGTTTGTTGATATTCCTGGTCTGTATCCACTGTAACTATTTTAAGTATGTAGTCTATAATAATCACAAGTACAGGTCCCAAGCATACCCATATTGTTTTCCTGTGTGAAGTCAATATAATCTATCAGATTGAAGGTCGGCCTGGTTTGCTTGCATTGCAATTTCATTTTGCACTGGTTCAAAAGTATCCAGTGTAAATTATTTGAATGAAATTCTGATTTTATTTTTTGTTTCAGATTTTGCCTTTTTCTCTTTTATATCTGCAGTGCAGATGAAATGATATATATATTTCTTTTGTCTTTGATAATGTTGCACAAAAGCCTGATATGATGAGCCATTTTTGGCTTTTCAAATTTGAAGGTTTCCCTTTGTTAAGTTCTGAAGACCAGACCGAGCCAAAAAGCTATCTGATTCACGGTTTTCACAGTGAAGACGTGTCCAGGTCTAAGTTTTCCTGGTTCAGCCAGGTGGCTCAATCTGGTCTTCCAACCATTGGAGCCCAGGTCCATCATAGTGAATTAATTCAAGGTCAAAATGGTATCTGTTTTTAATATAATTTCATTCTTATGTTTTAGTTCATATTTTTTAATAGTTTGTCTTGTAACTTGAACTTTTTGAGGTTTTTTTTATTAGATAAAAGATAAAATTTTAGTGTCTCAAGGAGAAAGTGATTTGCATGTTAATAAACAAAATATATTAGATGAAAAGAAAACTTCAGTTTACATTTCTGCCCATAATTTCATTTAAAAAGCTGACATAATAAATTTAACTTCAGATTTTCCTTCTTGGTCATAGGAATCAATTCAGTAGATCAATCAGTAAATCTTTAGCCCGGAAAATATGGTGGATTGGTGATTTACACATCTCTCTCTCTCTATATATATATAATTCAGAGTAGAGCTTTTTAAGATATGTTACAAATAATACTCTTTAGCTTTTATTTCATTTTGTTGAAAAAATAAACAAAAATATTCTTTAATAAGCTTATCTAAATATATATACATATCCTATGGCTTATATGCCCAAGACAATAATGGTCTTTTATGTATTTTGTGTTTCAATAAGCTGATCAGTAAGATGAATTCATCTTCAAGATATTCAAGATATTCAGTTGGTTATAGAATTCCGCTTAATTACTTAGAAAAAAAGAACTTAATAGAACAATATTACACAAAACCCACCCAAAATTTCATATTTTGGCTCAGCCATGCCCAAGCATCAAACCAAGCCCACCAAGCTGTATACCGAAATTGAGCTAAGATAGGTTCGACTAATTTGGATGTTTTAGGCTCAGTTCGGAAGGAGTACAAATACAAATATGTAGAGTATAAAATCTTGTATTTTGTATTATTTCGTATGTATTTGTATTGTGCATATTTGTATTTAGACTCTTTCCAAACTTAACCTTCCTTTTTCCAAACTGAACTTTAAGGAAAAATTACTATATAATCTATTGTATTTATTGAACCCAAGCAAATTGCTACCATTGATTGTTTTCTTTTTAATTTTCTGAAAAGAAACATTTTTTGGTTAGTGATACAAACTACTACAATTACATTTTAGAAAGAATTTATGGAAGTAGAAAAAACCCTAATCTCCTTGAAACTTCTCCCCCTCTAGATGTTTAATAGCCTTTTCTTCTTTTAGACTACTTCCTTTCATCTCTCAAATTTTAGCCTCTTCCATTTACACTTATGTTCTCTCTCATAGGTGATAGGTGATACTGTTATACAATATAATAGAAGAATCAAAATCAACCAAAGAAAATGTTAATAACTTTGCTTTTGTCTATCAATTATTACTTGTGATCTATGCGTCTAAGAGACTAAGGGAGTGTGTTCTACAATGTGAATTGTTTTTTTTTTGTTGTTATACATACTTTTGTTATGATTAAAAGAATATTTATTTCATGTGTTGAGTTGTTCTACTAAATATTCTTAGTTTATATAAGTATTATGTATGAGACCACATGATTGTTATAACATGGACTTAAAACTTCATAACCAATGGATACACTTGGGAAAGTTTATCTTGATAAAGTTGTCATTCTTACACTACCAAAGGTAGTGGAGCAATGGGTCTCAGTTAGACCTGTTCATGGGCCGGATGGTTCGGCGGGCCGGCCCGGCCCCCGAATGGGCTTGAACGTGGTTATAGGCCCGTGGGCTTAAATTCGGGCCAAAAAGCCCGGCCCGCAATAAATTCGAGTCAGGCTCGGGTTTTATCAAAATAGCCCGGCCCGACCCGACCTAATATTAGACTTAAAAGTGAATAATGTGATTATGTCCATTTGAATAAATTTTTTGATTTAAGAATGTAAAACTATGTTTTAAAATATAAAAGAAAGGGGAAAAAAACCATCTTGTAGGCCCATTATTCATTTAAATAGGAAAAAATAATTTGAATAGGGAAAATTATTATTTTTTTTATTAGGTCGGGCTTCGGGCTTGGGCTCAGGCCCAAGTTATAGGCCCGTTGGTCGGGCTGGGCTCGGGCTCGGGCCTAGCATATTTCTCTTAATGACAAGTGAAAGCCCGATCTGGCCCATGAACAGATCTACTATTCTTATAAATAGTAGGACTACTTTCTTTGACCAAGCTGACCTCTCACAATACGAGTAGTAATAAGATCACCGATCTGGCCTCCTGGGTTAAATTTGGCATCTCCTCATCCATTTATTGTCTATTTTTCTTGCAAGTGCCATTGGAACAGCTTAATCCATACCCTCTCTCATCAGCCTATCCGATTTTCAGCTTTCCCTCCTCTCTCATCTATTGCCTGGTTTTGGACGGCAATAGAATCAAAGTCAAATAAGGTAAAAATGCTAATTACATTGCTCTGTCCGTCAATCATTACCTATGTTAGACTAAGGCTGTATTTGGTTGTAGTGCAATTTTATTTGCACTAGTATATAAATGCATGGGAGTGCAAATGAAAAAACTGCAAATTATCATTTACTTTTGTTTTGGGTTTTACTTTATTCTGCTTCATGTCTTAATTTACTTCATATGAAATGCAATCAAACAAAATAAGTTAAAATTTAAAACAAAAATAGGTCAAAATTTACACTTAAATCATTTGCACTGCCACAATTTCACATCAATGCAATTTTATTTGCATTGCAACCAAACACAGCCTAAGGGAAAGGGTGTATTCTACAATTTGAATTGTTTTTCTTGTCAATTCCAAAAGTAAATGAAAACCCTATTTGGTTGAAAACTGAATGTTTCTCAAAACAAAAACACAAAAAACGTGTTATTGAATTTCTGGTTTTAAAAACATATTTTTATTTGGTTATTTAAAATCAATGCTCCATAAATCTATATTTTTTACGTATGCAAAGATTTTTGTTTGTATTTTGAAAACCATTATTTTGATGGTTCATGTGTTATATTTTGAAACAAAACCAATTTGTTTTTGCCTTTAGAGATCAAAAGCATGCATGTTTTTAGCTTTTTCCCTAATGTGGCAATATCAAAAACTTTCAGATTTTAGTAACACCCCATAAATCCCTTAGGCTGCATTTGGAAACGATACAAATGGAGTGTAAATCCTGGTTCGGGGTAAATTTACACTCTAGTTCGCTTTTGTTTATTTTTGACAACATTACATTTATGCATTGACAAATGACATATCAATGCATATTCACATTGATAATAAGATGTAAAAGTATATCGATAAGAAAGAAGTAAATTTGTATTCAAGCGGGTTTTTGATAAAAAAAAGGCATATGCTTTATTGGAATTTGTGTTTGCATCTAAAAGTCAATTTGGTAAGAAGATAAATTTGTCTGTACAAAATTAATCCAACTAACTTTACAATTTATATAAACCGTTCTACACTCTCTACATATTTGCATTCACACTTATTTGCATCATTTCAAAACGCAGCCTTAATCTCATTTACACTATTTCTCATGTGGGTTTTTTCTCTGTTTTAAACTTGGGCTTATTATTCTCTATCAAAAAGCAGTTCTAATCGAAACCGTACGTACATATTCCATGTTGAAATCATAGACTTGTTTGATGATTTTGACTGTAATGTGTCCCTCTAATTTATTCCAACTTGTGGCATCAACCAAACTTTCTTATCAAGTGAGTCCGAATATACTTTTACGACGGTGAGAAACTGAGAATTGAAGAAATTAACAAAAACAAATACAATTGGAGATGATAATTTCTTTAATTAATTTGCCGAAGAAACTCTTCACTTTTGGCTAGTGTGAACAACTTAATTTGTTGCTGCATGCAGCTGGAAACGATCATGAATTCATCATTTCTACAAATCCAAGTCTTGAAGGAAAGGAGTAAAAATTATTCCATCAACCATACAATCGAGACAGTAGACCATACTTATATGTTGGTACAGAAGGAAGATGATGAGCAGCAATGAAACATGAAGAAATTAAAACATATATATCAATAATCAATTCCTATTCTTGGTGTTCATGGAACGCTTGACGGCCTCAGCATTATCTTTGATGAACTCCTTTGCTTCGTCTTTCTTGTCAACCGCCGTGTCCTTGATGTTTTGGGCGGTCTCCTTGGCTGATCCCCAGGCATCTTGGGCTGTCTGCTTCGCTTTCTCAGTGAGGTCCTGTGCAGTGTCTGATGCCTTGCCTGCCACCTCTTTTGTTTTCTGGGTTGCCTAGAATTACAACAATTTCTTATAATTGTGATCATCTCAACATCTGAAGTAGTCTCAGTCTGTGAGTAATTAAATCGAACATCACCTGTTCAACAGCAGAGCTGGCCTTATCTTTTATTTCTTCACCAGTCCTCTTCACTTCTCTGGCCCCTTGTTTTGCAGCATTGACGCCCTTATCGCAAGCATTCGAAGCTTCATTTTGTGCGCTTGCCTGTGAATGAGACTCAAAACTCATTTCAGCAGTCAGTTTTAAAATGCACCACCCAAGCGAACACACTTATTTCTCTTGCTGTTCAACACACAATGCCTTACACCTCTTTTTAATTGTAAAGCATTGATTGATTTGATATAAAAAGACTATTAATTTTTGAAAACCACATATTTCAAAGAATCATTTAACCTAAAAGTAGACCATTTGGTCAAAGTAGACCACTTGATCAAAGTAGCTCTGATACCATCTCCAAAAACCATTCAACTTAAAAGCTTAAATTGTTAGGTGAGGTCCTTGAATAMRTTGCTATTCTTTAATAAAATGTCACAAGAGTATAGAATTAGGGATGACAATTTTTTCATAAATCCCTATTTCTCAATCTAAAAGCTTAAATTGTTAGGTGAGGTCCTTGAATAMRTTGCTATTCTTTAATAAAATGTCACAAGAGTATAGAATTAGGGATGACAATTTTTTCATAAATCCCTATTTCTCAACTTAATCCTATAGGGCATATGGAGACGGCCTTGGTGGGGATGGGACGGTGATTAATAGGAATATCTGATCTGGGATGGGGATGAGAGTGAAATTTTCACTCCACCCCGACTTCAATTATTTATATTATATATGAAAATATATTTAAAATCTTTCTTTATTTCAAGTAATTCTTTTTATTCAAAAAACTTTTAATTAAAAAATTTTGGAGTTTTGAAGAACCCATTTCCATTGGGAATTAAAATTAAATTTTGTTTTCATAAAACTCATCCTCACACCATCTTCACAACAATTGCAGCCGTGCATTGAGAATATTAGACAAATTTTGTGAGGATCAAATCCGAATTCCTTGAATTGATGGTAACAATGGATAGATTAATTCATGTCTATATATCTAACTAAGAATTGAAGAAGTGCAACTCACTTGAAGAGGTCTTGGGGATACCGTGAAGCTCCTGGGTCTCCAATCGCTTCTTGTAACGGCAGAAGATCCAATGGGACGGAATTTGATAAGGGAGGTTGCTAGACTCATGCTTGCCATTTTAATTTCTTCTTCCTCTTTGTCAGGAGTAATGCAGCAGACAGAAATGATCGAGCACTTTGTCTCTGTGTTTCTTCGTTCTGTATATATATATATATATATAAGGGAGGGTTGGGAGTTCTTTCTCTATGTTTAGATAACCGTCTGCACATTCGGTAGGATCCGGTTTGTTCTCTTATTGCCAGGGTTCGGTCTACTTTGGACCTTTTTCGTTTGACTGCATCAAATATTGGCATGAGAGCGGGAAACTCTGCGTATTTCAAGTATTTTACATCTCGTTGTAATGGGGTTCCACGTATGCCAGTTCATGTCGGAGAGTTGGTTTGTTTTGTTTAGCTTTTTTATTTTTGATAGAAACAAATGGTGCTATACAATACCGGATAGGGCTGCAAATAAGTCGGATAAGATCCGATTTGAATCCGATATCGATCTGTTAAGTGGCAGATTTGGATATTCCTCTTGATCCTAATAAATCATATCGGAATAGTTGATCCTAACGGGTTGAATTTAGATATTGGCTGGTTCAATACGCTGTAACCCGAACTGATAATTATGAAACATTATATATGTATATTCTATATATTATTTATATAATTATATATTATATATTTTCATATATTACTATATTATATAAATAATATAATATATTATTTATATTACGTTATTAAATATAATTTTAATTGAATCGAATATTCAAATTCGAATTCGAATCATGCTTTCGAAAATCCGACAGATCCTTATTAGATTCGGATCAATCGGATTTTCTTAACAGATCGAATCGGATATGCCCTTACTGAATCCGTTTGCAGCTCTAATACCGGGGTAGCACGCCCCCAAACATCAAACAAATAAAATGAAAGGTCCCGGGGAGATTACAAAGATTTAAGGAAACAAATCAAGGTCCTGTACCTAACTCTACAATCCATTTTCTCCTTTATTTTCATCTTCAAGCAGTCTAAAATGATATTCCTTAGGTTCCAAGGTGGAGAGGTCAGACCTCTGACACAACTAATGACAAGATTCAAATCCCCTTGAGTTATGATTGAATGGATTTGTAGAGGGTTTGCAGTTCTGCTTAGTTGTACAATTTGGGTTGGTTTGAATTAGCATTTTGCTACTACTTCGAGCTTGGGCCTTTGAGTCAAGCCCATTCAAATTTTACAAAGATCTAATCCGAGCCCGCCCAAATTGCATCTCTAGTTCTGGGGTTGTTAATGGATCGGGTGGTCCAATGGAACCAAAATGAACTGATCCTATTGTTATATAGGGTCTAGTTCTACAATGTATGTTCAGTTTATAATTGTGTTGGGACCGGGTTTAGGGATGGCAATTTTGCTAAAATTTTGGAGTACCCAACCTGTCTCCACCCTAATAGATGGCAATTTTGCTAAAATTTTTGAGTACCCAACCTGTCTCTACCCTAATAGGATCTGCTTATCAAAATCCTTAAGGGTTTGGGCAGCTTTGGATTTTGACCTTAGCGTACTTGGTACCCAAATCCAATTATATTTAATGCAGGTACCCGCTCCCAATACCTCATTATAAATCCAATATATATTTAGTAAATATATCTTATATATTTCATAAGAATCATATACAGTAAAAATATGTGAGAGAGAATTCGAACCCTTGCCATTGTATCCTATCTGGCATCTTAGTGTCATCACCCAAAATTGAGCACCTTACCCCCTTAAACCGTAGATCGCCCATATAAACATTTCATATAATCAATTGGACAGTATTAAAAGACTCTATGTACCCTAAAACCCTTGCCTATCAAGTTTTATCTCAATGCTACTTCATTTGATCCTTGATCGAAGTAAGATTCTTTTTCAACTATTCTCATTATTCAAGAACCATGATCTCATAATTCCCCTATATGCAGGCCTCTTTAGACCCATTTCACCTAGCCAATAAGTTTGGGACCCTCAAAAATCCCATCTTACCAAATTTCACCTAAAAATTCCATCCTTACCCTTCAAACGAAGCAATGTTCTATTTCACAAGTTGTTGTCCACTTACACAACTTTCTTGTGATATAGCACCAACACAGTAGCCTTTCTTGAGTGAATCCTGGCCACTCAAAAGTTGTTAACCCTTGGATCAAAATATTCCCTTGTTAGCAACTTTTATTAGAACACCCCAAAAACCTCAAAATATTTAGAACACTCCCACCCTTCTTCCTTCTAGAATACCCCCAAACTCCCATTTTACCCTTGAAAACCCACAAAATACCTAAAATGCCCCACCTTCCCTCTTACCTAGAATACCCCAAGTTCACACCATTTAGACTATTTTGCCCTTGAAAACCCTCAAAATACCCCTCACCCTTCATCCTACCCAAAATGCCCCTAAATTTACCTCCTTGGACTATATCACCGCTGAGAACCCTTAGAATACCCAAAATACCCTTTATTCTCCCTCTCCTTAAAATACCCATGTTCTTACCACCTTTAGGCACATTTTCCTTCAAAAACTTCCAAAATACCTGAACTACCCCAAAATAGGGATGCAACTTGGGTGGGCCCAACCCGAGCCTAAATCGGCCCAACCCGAAATTTCACACGCCTATTTCGTAAGGGGTTTGGAACTTTACGGATAAGTGGTACATGGAGACTAAGGCTTGCAATGCATGCAGCGTCGGTCCGCTGATGATGGCGTTGTATAGTGACTGGGTGCGGATGACAATGAAATCCACCATCGCTGTGGTAGTGATGAGGCCATTACCTATCAACAATGGTAGAGCAATCTTCCCTTAAGGTATTAATGATTATCTAGAGAATCCTACCAGAGGGGTGTTGACCAGTGTGAGGCGGTCTTTCCCGATGCCAAGCTGTTTGAAGGCCTCTTCAAAGAGGATATTGGCCGAGCTCCTTGTGTCCACTAGTATCATTCATACCTCGAATTGGCGATCTTGGCGGTTATGAAAAGAGTGTCGCTGGTAAAAGTAATGGGGGTGTCTTGCCTCGGTCTCTTTGATTTCCTGTCTTCGACTTGATGTAGCCTAGCATAGGCCTTGCTGGTCAAGCTGCTCTCTCATCCGGAGGCCATCCTGCCCGAGATGACTATGATGACCCCGACCGGTGGAGCTCAGGCTAGGGGTGCATTAGTGTGAAGCAGTTCTTCACACTTGCATGAGGCTAGCTAACACACTTGCCAAGTAGTCTCTCAAGGATTCTCCTTTCCTCTGATGGACTTGCATGAGGCTAGATGAGGTCTTCCAATGCCTCTTGCTAGTGGTGAATTGTGCTAGGAACTATGCTTCCAACTGCTCCTAGGAGGCTATGAATTGCGATAGGAGCGAGGCGTACCTTGTTCTGGCTATTCCGTGGAGGGTCGCGACGAAGGCCTTGCACATCAATCTCTCCGCTGAGGTCTTCAAGGAGGTTCCCTCTTTCCCGATAGAGTCCATTTCCTTATCCATGTGGGACACTCCTCGATCATGCTCTTCCATCATGCGGTTGATGTTGACGGGGTCCGAAGAGGGCGGCCACGGAATCCACCACGTGGTGCCCTTTTCTAGCTCTGCAATCAGCCAAACAGATGCTTAGACATGTTTTTACTTTTTAAATTTCACCAAAATTTGTATATCATTTCTAAGAATGGAAATAGGATAGGTTTGGGGCAAGACACCCCCTCCTCATCCCCACCCCGTAGTTAAGGCACTCTACCCCATCCCCGGTGGCGACGCGTGTTCGGGGTGGGCATCCACTCCCCATCAGGGATAGGGAGTCCCCAAATTTTCACTGCCCTGGGGCAACCACCTAATAATAATCTAATTTGTGAATGTTTTATAGATAAGACTATGTGAATTTGGGGGTATTTTAAGAATTGGATTATGATAACTTTGCGGTACTTTATAAATGGAATTATGGGACCTTAGAATTTTAAGAATTTGAGAAAAATTTAGAGATATTTCAAAAATCAATATCAAATTTAGGAATACTTCACTAATTTACCATTAGATTCAGAGAATTATATACAAACCCCATCCTTACCCCGCCCCATTTAAAATCGGGGAAAACCCACCTCATCTGGGGTAGGGCAGGGCGRGACCCCAGTTTGACGGGGAAAATTTCCATCGCTAATTACTTCACTTTTGGTAAGAAAACTAAAATGATAAACTGAACACTTGGCAAAAGTTTTGTTGCATTTAGTAGTTCAATTATGCCAGATTTTTTTTTCTGAAAATTAATCTTTGGTTAAATTTTAGGGCTAGTAAAACTGAGCCCCCTGAATTCTCATTTGTGACAAGGATCCACCCTGTTAGAATGTGTGAATGACTGCCTTAGGAGGTGAATTCTGTGAATGCCTTAGGAAGTGAAGTAGCATGGATTGGCATACTTTGTAATACACTTGTTACCTCCATCCAATAGCGTTTTAGCTTTCCAGCCTTCACTTTTCTTTAGTTTTCATTATAATCGACTCAATATCCTTAATTCTCAGACATTTGTTAGAAATCAAAATGCCTTGAGTTCTGAGACTATAAAACTCTAAACTCAAGTTACTGAATCAAGGAAAATATATATTACCAATCAAAAGCCTGGGGTTTCAGAACGGTTTTAAAATCATGGGATTGGGGAACGAGATATGTTGTCATTTGAATGATTTCGATTGTATAAGTTGATAAAATTTAAAATCGATTATTCGACTTGGCAAGAACATGAACACTCTTAGCATCCTGATTTTTTTATGGAGGCTCTGGACCCATCTGCGATCTATCTTTCTGTTAAGTGGTTACAATGTTTAGGTGAAAGAAAAAAAAAAAACTATAAAAATCAAGTTCATATTAATAGGGTTAAGTTTCTCCTCATGTAAAGTTTCTTCTTAGTAGTGTCGTCCTGTTCAGCTTTTATCATTTTTAACTTACGGGTTTTTGTTTAAAACTCTGCCTCACTTTTCCCCATTTCTTAAACTTGAACATAACCTGAGTTTTCTCACTAATTAGTTCAGGAGAATTAATTGTTTCTGAGCCCATGAAATACCTAGGGTTTCAAAATTGGTTTGATTGGAAGAAATGGGGCTACTAGAAAATTTCATAGTTTATATCCTTCTTTAATGATTCC